CTTTCTTCTTCACTTTCAGTTCTTCCTCTTCAAGGCCAGCCTTTCTTCATTTCTGCACAATAACTGGTTTCATTTTGACATTTTTATTGAAATATTTCTTTTAAAGAAGCTGTTTTAACCCAGCATGTGCTGCCATGATTAAAACAAAACATGAGCTGATTTTCACAATAATTCAGGTAAAAATGTTTCAAACTGAAAGCTGTGAGTGTTCACTTCAGAGGAAACAGCTGCATGAAAACAGAAACCAGTTCAAGAAAAACTGGAACGTTTCTCAGGAAATATTGATGAAGACTCAAAGCTTGATTGCCGAAATCCATCAACCTTCCTCCTCAAAGGCCGACAGGAAGTTAGGACTTTTATTTTGTAATAATCTCTTTTGATAAAATTGCGTGCGAAGTGCAGAAGATGAAACGTTGAAGCTGCTGCCGGAGGATCTTTGGGGTCACCATGGCAACCACACACCTCTGTCACTCCCTGACGTCACCCCTAACAGGACGGGCAGACAGAAAAGACTCTGCTGTGTTAGCATCGTTAGCATCGTCAACAGCTAAACTTCAAGCTAAGTGAATAAAAAAATAAATAAATAAAAACTGACTACATATAAAATATGGCAGAGAAAGTATTTTCTGTTTGTTTTTAACTAACTTCAAACAGTATTTATAAAAATACAAAGTTGATCAAAGGAGATGAAGACTGTGTTAGCGAAGCTAAGGTTCCTGTTTAGCGGTTAGTGAAGCTAACGTTTTGCTTAGCTGTGCCCACTGTGCTCTCATGCTAATACATTTATATTTATGGCAATGAAGCGTTAGCTCTCGTTCTAATACATTTATATATATGGCGATATAGCATTAGCTCTCGTGCTAATACATTTATATATATGCCGATACAGGGTTAGCTCTCGTGCTAATACATTTATATATAAATGGTATTATAGCTTTAGCTCTCATGCTAGTACATTTATATATATGGCGATATAGCATTAGCTCTCGTGCTAATACATTTATATATATGCCGATACAGGGTTAGCTCTCGTGCTAATACATTTGTATAAATGGCGATGTAGCATTAGATTAGCWTAAGATTCTTGTTTAGCGGTTAGTGAAGCTRACATTTTGGTTAGCTGTGCCCACCACTGCTCAGATCTCTTCCTGATTAAGTTTCTATTTTAAAGCTTTGAGGAGATGAGAATTAAAATCAGTGACAGAAACATATTAACATATGATTGTTTATCATGAGAAGTAATTTAAATTAGTTTGTGCTTTAAAAAGTCTGGAGAAAAAAACTTTTTTTTAAATCAACAGAACTCTGAATTTGTTTAATCTTTGAATTCAAACTAAAGTCAGTCATCAGACACGTTACAGTCTTTGCTCTTAAAGTGCTTGTGACATGAAAATTTTAAATAAATATAAAGGCATTGTTGGAAAGATGATATTAATAACATATTGCAAAAATAATTTCCCGCWGCTGACAYGAACAGTTRTTGAGATATTTGCATTTGAAGTAACAGGAAGTGATGTCAAAGGGGAACGTCTGCATGGATTAGAGCGTTGATTGTATGGCTAACGACACAGACTGTAGAGAAGAATCTGATGTTCCTTTAGGTTATTTTGAGTCTCTATCAGAGATGAAGACGAGTCAGAGTCCAAATAATACACAGTAATATACAGTACAGCAAAGACCAGAGGGTTCTCTTTCTTAAAGAGTTCCCCTTTGATGTCACTTCCTGTTTCACTTTGGCTGATCCAAGTTCAAAAGAAAATTTGCCATTTTTGTGACAAAATGGATAAAATCACATTTTATGGAAGGTTTCTTATATAAAATGWGTTTTCTTTGACTTTTTGTGTTCAACTGAACGGCATGTCACAGGCACTTTAATTTTTGTGAGATTGATTTTATTTAAATCAAACAAATAAAATACAGTTTACTGATTCTAAATAACCAGTTTTTTGTTGTTATAAACTCAAATCAAAGCAGGAAACATTAAAATAAAACAGATTTAAATGAAAAATTTGCATAAAAAATGTTTAACTTAGCGTCAAACCAAATAAACATTTATGTTTAGGTTTGTTACAAGCTGTTGTTTTTGCCGAGTCATGTTATTTTGCATCTTTATTTAAAACCTTTCAGTTCAGCAGCTGGAACGTAAAGCAGAGAGAGCTGWTTCAGCTGATTCAAAGAAAGAAAAAGTGTCTTCATTCAGTGAAACTCGATGAATTTCTGCAGAACTTTGCTGTGAAAACATCGGAGCGGGCGTGTTTGTGTGGATGTGTCTGAACTCGTCCCGTCTTACCCATCATGCCTCGCTCCGTGTTCGGGCAGGCAACYCCCTGAGGCGGCCATTGTTTGGTGTTTTTAGCTGCTGGTCACGCTCGGGCTGCGASGAGGAACAAAGACTCGGGCCTGTGGCTTTGTGGAAACTCACAATCATGTTGGCAGCCGATGGGAAGAAAATACCTCAGACTGATCTCGTTAACTTTAAAGAACTTATTTATGCAAAACTTTAAAGTACCTGTGATGTTCAGTAAATACAAAAAGTCAAAGAGAACATCTTTATACTTTATAAACTGGACATAACACACGATTTTACCAATTTTGTCACATAACCGGCAGATTTTCTTTTGAACTGGGCTCAGTTAAAGGGAAACAGGAAGTGACATCAAAGGGGAACTCTTTAAGGAAATAAACTCTATGATCTTTGTTCAYTGAAACAATTTTATTTGAACTCTTCTTCATCTCTGGTAGAGATTTAAAATAATCTAAAGAAACTTCAGATTCTTCTCTACAGTCTGGATTGTAACAACGCTCTGTTTACATATTCCTCTCTGACATCACTTCCTGTTTCTTCACATGCAAATATCTCAACAACGGTTCATCTCAGCAGCGTGAATATTTTTTTACAATATGTTATTAATGTTATCTTTTTTAAAATGTGTTTATATTCATAATAAAAATGAAATGTGACAGACAGTAAACTCACACAAATCTTGTTTTTCATTGGTTCTGCATTCTGATGCAGGGTTCCCGCGGATCCTTAAAAAGTCTTAAAAG